AATAGTTTGCATTTTTTGCCTTCATCTACTCACCATACCTACATTATATGCTAGATCAGACCTTGTATGACAAAGGCACCTTAATGATCTAATAAGTCTTCTATAATGAGTTGGATCGACTTCACTTTCGATTGGGTCCTTTGTTAACTACAATCTTGTTTCAACTGGTGTCAAAGTTGCATTGCATTCCTCCATCTCAAATATCTTGAGTATCTCGTTTGCATATCTTTTTTGATGCATCATTAGGCCTTTATTTCTCTTGTAGAATTCAATGCCAAGGGAATATGAAATGTTGCCCATATCAGACATTTTGAATTCATTGCTTATATCACCTTTGAAGTCTTCGATCTCCTTCTTGCAACTACCTGTTATTAATAGGTCATCGACATAGAGGCGTAATATAAGTAGTTCACTCTTATTTTTTCTAACATATACTCCATACTTAGTTGTGAATTTTACAAACTTCTTCTCTCTTAGGAAACTATCTATGTTTTTATTCCAAGATCTTGGAGCTTATTTGAGTCCATACAGGGCTTTATGCAACACGTATACCTTTCTTGGCCTTGCTTTACAGAGCCAACTGGTTATGCTACATAAATCTCTTCATCTAAAGGACCATTCATTAATGCACATTTCACATCCATCTGAAACATATACCATTTTGTCGTGTTTACTAGGCCAACAACTAACCTGATTGTTTCGATCCTAACAACTGGTGAAAATACTTCATCAAAATTGATTCCTTCTCTATAAAGAAATACTTCGGCTACAAGTCTTGCCTTGTGTCGAGTTACTTCTCATTTTGGATCAAGATTTGCTTTGTAAACCCATTTCATATCAATTTCCTTCTTGCCTTGTGGCAGTTTGACTAGTGATCAGCTATTGTTAACTTTAATGGACTTTAGTTCTTCATTCATCGCCTGCATCCATTTTGAGTCCTTCAATGCCTTAATTACATTAATTGGCTCAGTATTTGTATATAATGTATAATGAATACGTTAAAATTAATCATCAACCATATCATCTAATGTAATCATACATTTCTGCAATCTTGCAAGCATGTTTCTTGTTCTTTGAGGTCTGTTTGTGCCTGCTGGACCTCTGACTTCTTCTTGTCGAACTTCTCTGTCAGCTTCACTAGCAGGTTCATCATATAAGATTCTCAGTGAATCCTTCTTAATGTTTTCATTATAGTCTCATTCCTTAAGCTCATCTATGATCACATCCCTATTGATCACAACTTTCTTGTTCAAGGAATTGAACATTTTGTACCCACCAATCGAGTGATATCCTATCAAGATCATCTAGTTTGACTTGTCATCAAGTTTTTTTCTTAAATGGCCAGGCACATATCTATGTGCTATAAATCCAAACACCTTTAGATGACTTAATCTTGGCTTGACACTAGACCAACATTCTTCTGGTGTGATTTGTTCTAGCTTCTTAATTGGACATCTGTTTGGGATAAATGTTGCAGTCGACACAACCTCGCCCCATAACTCATTAGGTAAGTTATTTATTCTTAGCATAGTCATTATCATATTCATGATGGTTCTATTATTCCTTTTCGTAGTTCCATTTTTTTGTGAAGCCTATAGTGATACTACCTCATGCACGATCCCATATTTCTCACACAATGCATCAAAACCTTTCGACATATATATTCTCCACTACCATCAGTCCTCAGAGTCTTAAGAATTCGACCACTTTACCTCTGCACCAAAGATTTAAACTTTGCGAACACCTCAAGTACATCACTTTTCTTCTTCATTAGGTAATGTTCATATTTTTTGACTGAAGTCATATATGAATGTGACAAAGTATATGTTACCTCCAATTAAATCTACCTAGATAGGACCACACACATTAAAGTATATCACTTCAAGATTTGCCTTCGACTTACTTCTTACATCTTTTATGAAGTTATTTTTGTGTTGCTTTGCCTACACAAATTCTTCACACACTTCATTTAGAATGTCGATTTCTGATAATCCTAAAACGATGTTTCTTCTCTTCAAATTTCTGACATCTTTGAAGTTGAGATGGACATGTAATATCGTATCTATTCATCTCTACTAGCTTTAATTGTCAGACACTTGTGCTTCATAATATTAGATTCAATCTAGAAGGTTCTGTTCTGAGACATAAGTGCCTTCAAGGTTAACATATCACTTGAGTCGAGAACTCTCATCATCATATCTTTGATTAACACTTACTAATTTTTCTCAATCAGTTGCCCTATGCTGAGAAAATTGATTTTCATGCCTGGTATGTATACTACACTTGAAATTAATGATCTTTTGCCATCTTTTCTCATGACCAAAATATAACCAATACCTTCAGCAGGCAAGGTATTGTCATTTACGAACTTCACCTTGTTCTTCATCGAGGGACTTATGTTGATAAACTAATCTTTCCTTCCAATCATGTGCGACGAGTAGCCTGAGTCCAAGTACCATTGGTCATTTAACCTGTCTTCGTCATTTGTTGTGACCATCAGCAACATTACATCTTCTTTGTATCTTGCAAACCTTGCATCAACTTCTTGATTTTATTTCTTGCCTACTCGACATTGACTTGCATAATTTCCATACTTCTGACATTATAACACTGAATATGGATTTTTTTTCTTCAAATTTTCTTCCATCGCCTCTTCCTCTACCTGCAACACCATCTCTTTCATTACTTTGGTTTGATAATTATCTCTAATTTGAGGAATTACCTTCTTGTTGGTTTCCTCTACCAGTCGAATTGTTATAACCTCCTCTACCTTTGTCATTGTTCCATTTTTTTGTCTTTCTTTTCTTTTGTTGAATGTGTTTGTAGAGCTACATCACTCTTTATATTGCCTGCAAATCGTTCAACCATTCTTTGTTCATGATATTCAAGAGTTAGTTGAAGCCCTTCTTTCATGCTTGACAAATCCTTCAATTCTTCTATAATCGAACTTCGGAAGTAATGACGTCAAGATCTTTGTAACTACTGATCTTGATGTCAGCACTTATCCACATATCTTGATTTGATTCACCAGTCTCGTTATTCTGATGAAGAAATCAACCACATTTTTATTTCATTCCATATAAAGCAATTCATACGTTTTTTATGAGTTTGTAACCTCACATCTTTCACCTTCTCAGCGCCTCCGAACTATTTCTCCAGGATTCCCATGATTCATTTGTTGAGTCTACATCACCAACTTTCTCAAAGTTGTATGGATTAACACGTTGATGGATTAAAAAGAGAGCTTTATAATATTTATTACTTAAATATTTGTGTGCAACCTTGTTCATCCGTAGCATCTTCTCCAAATGATGCCACTATATTCTTCGCAAGATTCCAAATATTTTGATAATAGAAGACAACCTTCATCCACTTACATAAGTTATCATAATTCTACCATTCAAGATTGAAAGATTTGCTGGAAAGTGTCTGTTCGAATGAGAAGTCATTGTTCTATGCTTTCCGATAATCACAGTCAGTGCTCTAGATACTAGATGTTGAAATTAACCCCCAATTTTGGAGTTAATCATAATCAATTTTGACGAAAAGATGATCAATCTCTCTAATTGATTTTGCTTTTCGTTCTTCAATGTTCACTCGAGTGATTCAACCACACTTTGATTTCAAAATGATTTCTGTGCACAATAATTTGAGAAGAAAAATATGTGAAAGTGAATCGAGGAAGAAAAAGAAATTAGGGTTTTGGGAGGAAAAAATAAGAAAAAGGATAGATCAAATTCTGCAAAGTTTCTTTCCGCGTTTATTCTCACTGAATTTATCTTATTCAACTTTACACTAGAATAATACCTCTCCGTTTATAATGAGATTGCTTGTCCACCAAGTAATTCTCAAAGTCACTAACTCAAGCTTCGACACGCTATATTCGACTATGTCGAACTTACAAATATGATTGACACAAAAAATTACATATTTAACACATTTTACCCTTAAGAATAATTATTTTTTGATAATTTAATATATAGTTCATGATCCTTTTAAGTATCTTGTAATTATTTCAATATCGTGTCGATTTTCTATACTAGTTTTACTAATTAACTTGCACAACAATCTTACGGACACATAAAATGTTGAGTCTATCTAGTACAATCAGTGCCAAACTCAAAACCGTCGATGATGCTTGCATATTTAAATTGTTTTGCCCTTTCATCAGTTTTTAGAAATTGTTTAACACTTAAACGTGCAAACAAATTTACAAATATTTTGTTAACATAACGAAATTGATATGATGAAATTCCCCTTTCCTTTTTTTTAATATCAAATCTGTCACACAATAATAACTTCACTTTATTATTGAATCAAATATAAATAAGTTATTTACAAAGAGACATATAATAAATAGTTCATTCACGTAAAATAGTTTTACATTATTATTATATAATAAAAATTTATTATGCAACCATATTATACCAAAATATTAATGTGATCTAGCATAATACACATGATAATTATTGATTACTGCATCTCCTATGTAAATAAGAAAGTTACTAAAAATAACTAATATCTACGAAACGACTTAATAAAAAGAAAATATATTTATCAAAGTATCCCGTTTAAATGATTTAAAGACAATTTGTTCCCACGAGAAAATGAATGAATCGACATGAGTACGAGAAATTGAAAAAAAAACGTTGATCTGGTGGGAGAGAGCGTAGATTACAGACAAAGAAAAAGAAGAGAGAGAGAATCTAGAAGAAGGAGAAAGAGAAAAAAAGAGTAACAATACTACTAGTACACCAATTTAAAGCAAACAAAAGCATTGATTGATGGACGCACAAAACAAACTGCACCAGACAGGTGGGGTCCACACTTCCCTTTCCTTTCATTTCTCTTCTCCTTCTTCTTCACATTCCATCATCACTATTCTCACCTAACCATTTATTACTCTCTTCAAATTCAGACACCCTTTATCATTTCTTGTCTTAATTCTTCTAAAAAATCTGATTTTTTTGAACCCCAGTTGGTTTGATTTTCGTGGGTCGATGTCTACGGTTTCTAAAGATGATAACTTGGCTCTTTCTTCTGAGGATTCTTCTAGCCCGGATGAGTCTGAGCTTGAATTGGGCCTTGGCTTGAGTCTTTCTCATCCTGCTAAGTCACACCAGTATCATCATCATGGTAACTATGCTAGGATTTTCACTGCTAAGGATTTTTCTTCTTCACCTTCCTCTGCTGGAACTAAGAGACCTGCTGATTCTCTTGATGCTACCAACCGTACCAGGTCTATTACCTTCTTCATTTAGTTCACACAATCATTTGGTTTAGTATTTATGTTGTTATTGTTGTTGCTAATTTATGAAATTATGGATCATATGGTGTTACTTTTTTTAGGATGTTCAATTCAGTAGGCTAGGATATATTTGGAATGTTTATAGACTAAATTAGTTTAGGGGTTAAGAAATAAACCAAATTGATTTTACTTGATTGGTGTTGGGAACTGGTTTTGTTTCTATATTGATGCAATCTAAAAGAGGGTTTAGTTGATAGTAACTGTGAAGTGGAATGGTAGTAGTATTTCCAAGTGATAGATTATGTTTAAGGATGATTTCTGAGCCGTTTCAAGATTTTGGAGGCTCTCTGTAGGTGTGTAGGTTTGCCGCAGTTTAACCAAAAATAAATAGAGTTCCTCTTTAACTACTATTTAACCGTGACGATATTTCTGAGACCCCATTTAGGTATGGTTTAACCGTGAGAAATTTTGGGGTATGTACTGTAGTCTGCTTTGCACGCTCTCAAAGATGATCCGGATGATTTAGACACATTTGGTTGCATACAGTGTGATTAGTTCACATCATTAATTCTCAAGGTTGGAATATTGATATCTGAAGAGTAATTATGCTGTAATTTTTCATAAATTTAACTGAACTTACATGGTATTTGATTCTTGATTGATTCATTATTGATCTAGTTTCTTTGATTAATCTACAATCTGAATATTTTGCCAATGGATAATTAAGACTTTGTTTACAAATAGATTCAGCTACTGATGGTTTTGTCATTTGTTTTGTGATTGAATTTACGAAACAGTCAAGTAGTTGGATGGCCTCCCCTTCGAACATATCGAGTGAATAGCTTTAACGCCAACGTGAAATCAACTGAAGCATTCGACTCTGTTGCTGAGAAGAACAAGAACAATAATACTGGGGCAAGGAAGAGTGCTGACAACGGAAAGGATGATAATAACATTAATGTCAAAGATAAAAGAAACCTCAGGAATTCCCCTTTTGTCAAAGTAAATATGGATGGAGTACCGATTGGAAGAAAGGTTGATTTGAGCGCTCACAGTTCCTACGAAACATTGGCACAGACATTGGAGGACATGTTTGACGAATCAACAACAGGCGTCACTTGCAAAGGTATTATTGTCTGTATAATATATCATATTTCTATTCTGAAAAAACATTTGATTTTTTGTTTTCACCTTTGATATGTTCTATTACTTATTTCCATAACGGTATTACCATCATGGCAATAGGAACAAACGCGGAGGATCACAACATGACTATCAGAGGAGAAAAGCTTTCGATCCTGTTGGATGGATCTTCCAAGTTTGTTCTCACTTATGAAGACAAGGAAGGAGATTGGATGCTTGTTGGAGATGTTCCATGGGGGTAAGTAAACTAGTATTCTATTTTTGTGATTTAATACTGAAGGTATATCGGTTTTATATTCGGTTTTCTCTGCGTATTAATCTCTCATTTTCAAATCACATTCAGAATGTTCCTTAGTTCCGTGAAGAGACTAAGAATCATGAGAACATCCGAGGCTAATGGACTTGGTAAGAAAATTCATTATTTAACCAAACAAAACTTAACTTACTCTATACATTTTTATTTTTGCTAATTTGAGTTCTTCTTTTGCAGCACCAAGATCGGAAGAAAAGAGCAGCAGACCGAAAAGCAAGCCGAAATAGATATTGTTTTCATGGCTAAGGATAAGAACTTACTTATCCACCTTATATGTAACACAAATAGAAGGAGGAAAAACAAAAAAAAAAAAAGTAATCAAGTACAGCAAGTAAATGGATTTTGAGTTTCAAATGATAAAATCTTGTGTGTTTTTTCTTTTTCGGTTTCTGCTTTCTGGATTCAGTTTTTGTTTGTTTAACTTGACATATCTGTCACTGCCTCTATGCATCATCACTTGGATGATCCCGGCATCATAAATTTTAATGTAATACTAATTATACAAATCAGATTATTTCTGAATGTTGTGTAAATGTGAGGTGAAACTGTTTTATTTGGTTTTCTGGGTTAAATATATGCCGCCGATCGAATTCATGAAACACTCAAACAATGGTTTGCAAAAACTAGTCCATCTGGATATACATATTTTGAGAGCAAATGTAAGCCACTAAGTTGATTACAAAATTACAGGAAATTAACGAAATTACAGATCTAATAACAATGGAAGATTTGAGTTGCTGTTTTGGAAAAACTTGAATTTTGGTTGTTACAGAAGGTCATTAACTGGCGATGTTCTAATTACTGGCATCTCTTTGTTAGCAGTTAATGTATCATTGTTCTTACCACTTTTTCTCCTTGGCTTTGCCTCTCCTAGCATCATTATAACATCTCTCATGGAGGGTCTGTCCTTAGGTAACCTAGCAGTGCAGAGAAGTGCTATTCTGAGAACTAAAAGCATCTCTTCTTGAACATGTTTACAGTTTCCTACACTTGGGTCTAATGCTTCTTCTGGAGAATTTTTGTCTATTTTCCTTCTAATCCAGCCTACAATGTCTATAGATTCTCCAAACTCCGGATCTATCGGTCGCTTTCCTGTTATCAGCTCCAACAGAACTATTCCAAAGCTGTAAATGTCAATCTTTTCGTCTACCTTCAAAGAGTATCCATATTCTGCCAAATTGTAAAGCATTGAAATGGTTAAATCTTGTAAATATAACAATGAAGAAACATTTCTTACCCGAGGAAAAATGAATTGTAAAGCATATGTATGAACTAGTAACTCACCAGGAGCAATGTAGCCGTAGGATCCAGCAATCATGGAGACTGTTTCGTTCTTCCGAATCATCATCTTAGCCAGTCCAAAATCTGCTATCCTTGCATCAAGATTTGCATCGAGCAGTATGTTATTTGACTTGATGTCTCGATGAATAACAGGTGGATGACAGTCATGGTGAAGATAAGCGAGTCCTTGCGCGATTCCTAGAGCTATGTTATAGCGGGAAACCCAGTCGACAAGCAACCTTGCAGTTTGTTTACCATGCAAGGCATCTCCAAGGTTTCCATTCACCATAAACTCATAAACTATCATCAAATCAGTGTCATTATAAAGAAAACCTAGCAGTCTAACAATGTTCCTATGCCTTAACCTCCCTAGAAGGTTCACCTCTCCAACAAGATCGTCGCTATTTCCTACCTCAATATCGGTTTCTGATCTCCACAGTTTTTTGACAGCCACAGCTGTACTTGATTGCGATATCTCAGCCTTATAAACAACGCCGGTTCCTCCCATGCCTATCACGTTTGTTTCTTTGATGCAGTTTAGGATATCGGTACTAGTAAAATCAAGTCTCTGAAATGCCATCAGTCTCCAGGGCCACCCTTTTCCACCTCTATAAAATCTTCCTTGGAAGCACAATCCTTCGGTGTACCACTTCGTGTATATCGATCTTGCTACCAAAGCTGCAACTCCAATGGCTAAGATTGATGATATTCCAACTATCCATCCTACAACAACGCGCTTTGCATGCGAGCTTCCGTGCCTTAATGAGTATGGCGAGGTTTTTCCACATGGAGGGAAGAAACCACCACATAGGCCAGCATTTCCCACAAGATCATTTGGATTGATTGCTTTTAGCATGCCATTTTCCGGGACAGGACCTTCTAGCTTGTTGTATGAGACATTGAATGTTTCGAGAGCTGGAGATACGCCAAAGCTATTAGGTATTTGACCAGTTAGAGAGTTGTTAGCAAGATCAAGAATAGACAATGTAGGCATGCTTGCTATTGCTTCTGGGATGCCACCGGTCAATCGGTTGTTCTGTAGGCTCAATTTCACCAATTTCTGACATGAAGCAATGCTTTCTGGAATGGTTCCAGAAAGAAAGTTCGATGAGAGATCAAGGACTCCGAGTGAGGGGCAGTCCTGGAATTGATCTGGAATCTCACCTTCCAGGTTATTATCTGAGACCATGAATGTTTGCAGATTTGGAATGGAAATAATGGTCGAAGGAATGGAAGAGCTGAGGTTGTTCCTGGAGAAATCAATAAAAGAAAGAGACATGGAAGAAGCAATGTCGTCCGGAATTCCACCGGTGAGACTGTTGTTAGCCAATTCTAGTCTCTGAAGCTTACCAAGCTTACCAAAACCAACAGGTATTGTACCAGAAAGAAAGTTGTTTTGAATCCGAACGCGAACGAGCGAGGGACATTTTGATAGGCTTGTTGGAATTGGACCCTTGAAGGCATTATTGAAAAGTATAAGCTTAGTGAGATTTCCCTTGGTGCAAAGGGTTTCTGGAATTTCCCCAGAGAGTGAATTGGACGATACGTCCAACCACTGCAATGGCGAATTCTTGCCGAGGTCACTAGGCAATGGCCCCGAGAACGAATTGTTCCATAGCTCAAGCACTTCTAGTTGAGGCAAATCTCCAAGACCAGAAGGTACAGGACCAGATAACTTGTTCCTCATGACATTCAGAAGCTGTAAATTCTTCAGCTGACTAATCTCGGCCGGAATATTTCCTGATAACATGTTATCTGAGAGATCCAGCAGCACCAATGAAGTCATGTTGCCAATAGTTGGTGGAATCTTGCCTTGAAAACTGTTCTTATATAAGAAAACTGTGTTCAATAACTTGAGCTTTCCCAACTCAGCAGGAATTTCACCACTAAAATTGCCTTCTGCTAAATCAAGATACTTCAGCTTGGTTAAATTTCCAAACTCTTTTGGAATACTGCCTTCAAATTCGTTATAACCAATGATCATAGACTCCAGCAACGAAAGTTTTCCAATCTCAACCGGGATTTTCCCGGTGAGATTATTTCCTGATAGACCAAGGAACTTCAACTTACTCAAGTTACAGATAGACTTTGGAATCGAACCTTCAAAGAAGCTTCCTCTAAGATCAAGTGTCTCCAATGAAGACACATTTCCAAGGTCCTCAGGAAGAAAACCCGAGAAATTGTTGCTCGATGCATTCAACATAACGAGTCCCAACGCCTTTCCAAGGCCTAACGGAAAATCCCCGGTAAAGAAATTCTGGCTCACGTCGAGACTCTTTAATGAAGTGAGATTGGTTATGTGTTTTGACAGTGATGACTCAAATCCATTGCAGCACAAGTTTAAAAAAGTTAAGCTTTTCAAACTTTGTATCTCATTGGAAACACTTCCACTAAGATTCATATGTGAGAGATTAAGCTTCTCAACAGCTCCGAACGAGTTGCATTCGACACCTGTCCAGTTACAATGAGCTTGAGCTGCACCTGCATCCTTCCAATCATGTAAACTATTCAATGGATCAATGAGTGCTGCTTTTACAGAAAGTAATGCAGATGCTTCATTAATTTCTGCAGCAGAAAAGCTAGAACGGAAACAGAAAATGCAACAGATGAATAAGAAGAAGAAAAACTGATTTTTGAACTGCATCTTGTTGTTGTGATTGATCAGTGTCTGAGTTTTCCACCATTTGAATTCTCTATTGAAAGACATTGGTGTAGAGAATTGACATGACACTGACAGAGAGTGATGTATCTCCTGTTTGTGATAAGGAAGTGGGAGTACAAAGGAGGTTATTTGGCTATTAATAAGGTTGAGTTAGTTATAAAACATTGATTAGTTTTGGTGATTTGTTTAAGGTTTGACAGGTTTTATGGATTGGTATTTGATAGCAGATAATAATGTTGAGAATTGACAGTGAAGGTTTGGAATTATTAGAAGTTTCTCCGACATAAAACATGGGAGAGAATGTGACTCTTCATGACATTTAGTTCCTACTTCTTCTTTTGTGTTATATCATTGTCAATTTGAATAATGAATAGAGATGTACTTTTTTTATCTTTTATTTTAATAGAAAAATATCTAAACTAAAAGTTTCTTGCCATGGTCCATGATACTGCATTGAATATTTAACATTTAGTTATCTTATTTACAATTTTTTAATGTTTTAGTTTCTTTTTTAATTTTTTCAGCTTTTCAGTCTCTCCATTGTCATTTTTTAGGATTTTTTTAGTCTTTCTCCTGTTTTGCTTATGTGGCGTTCAGAATGGTGATTGAGCATGGTAAATCAGATGCCATGTCATTTATAAATTTTAATAAAATATTAATATTTTAAAAAATAAAAATTAATGTTAGACAATCTACATAATAAGGAACTCTAATTTTATCGTGTTTATCCCTTTCTTTATCTCCAGAAATTTTGCTACTACTCCTTCTCCTCTATGTTTTATACTTCATCTTCTCTACATCTTCTACCTCGTCTTGCCCATGTCTGGTTTTTCTCAAGCAAACAGTCGCACAAAATCTCATTCGAACTTCAAATCGAATCAGGGCGAATATGTGCGGCCTAGAAGCACCACTGATGACATCATGGACTGGTTCTAACCCAGGACGACGCTTTTATGGTTGTGGGATGTATAAGGTATTATTTGTCTATGATTTATCACTTCTACTTTCACTAATCATAAAAACGTCTTACGTTTTTTTCTTCCATATGTTGCCTGTAGCTTGTGGGACAAAAGAGGTGTGGCCATTTTGTTTGGTATGGCGAAGAGATGACCCCAAGTGCAAAATAAATGATTACATCTTTGAAGGAAAAATTATGCTCATAGCATAATAAGGTTAATGAATGCAGGGTCAAAGAGGATGAGTTGAAGATGAAGATCAAGTTCCTTAATATGCAACTGAAGTTTACATGTGTTATGAGCTTTGTAATGCTATTAGGTTTAGTTG